TCAGCAGGGATATTGGTGGCGAGGTGCATTTGTTGTAGGTGAAAGTTTTGTTATTCCTGTGTTCAGGATTCTTACATGGGAAAAATAAACAACTAAAAAAAAAAGTCAAAAGGCCTAAAAAGTTTATGGGACATTACGTTGAAAAAGTGATAGGGAAGAAGAAAGATGCTATATAATAAAATGTTCTGGGGACTGAATGTTTTGTGTTCTGCTGTCTGTGAAAATCGGGTGTTACCTAGTAGAAAAAAGCAGAATGATGTGGAACTCAGATTCGTGTTACCTCGTTAGTCATCCCAAACATCATCAGTAGCCTGTAAAGAATAGTAGCTGCATTCCTAGAATGCCCAACACATCTGTGCTTTGTTAAATACTAATCAAATTATTTCTTTGTGAAATGAAGAACTGAGCTACTACAAATTATCTTAGATGGGTTTTTCCCCCCGGTAAATAAACAAATTTGAATATATGTATTTGATAGTGCATTTTTGGTGCACTTTTGCAAGAGTACGTGCATGACCCTGTATGCTTTTTTTGTTTTGTTCAATTTTCCAGCTGCCTGCCCGGTCCTATGCAGTGGCAATGGTCAGTACTCTAAAGGCACTTGCTTGTGCTACCGGAAAAGGCCCAGAATGTGTTTTCCCCCCCAGCCAGTGTATCGATCCCTCATGTGGAGGTCATGGTTCCTGCATCGAAGGGAACTGTGTCTGTTCTGTTGGCTATAAAGGAGAAAACTGTGAAGAAGGTAGGACATTTTATGGTGTGAGTTTCTTTTCTGGGTTTGGGAATTACTTAATGGGTAGGAAAAAAAATTAAAACATAGAATCGCTGTAGCAGGTTATTGTAAAAAGAGGGGTAAAAATGTAGTCCGTTGTGATTTTACTGATCTATCAAAGTTCAGACAAAACTTCTGACCTTCTCCATACATTGTTTTGCTGTATTAAGAATATCTGCCGCAACTCAACCTGAATAATTCCTTTGTTGAAGAGCAGAGATAAATCTTTTCTTATGGATTATATTTATTGAACAATTTATGTGTGAAATGCAGAGCTAAAAGGAGCAGTGGTAGGCAAAATTGTATAGCTGCAACTCCTCACAAAGCAAATGTATCAGTCACTATTAAAACAGAAGTTGATGAAGCAAATTTGAAAGACTTCTGTATCTATGTTACCTACAGCCTTAATGTGGGGCAAATTACTCCTGTTAGCTGCAATCATAGGGGATTAAAGAAAGGTAGATGGTGCACACAAGTGATAACTGTCCTTGAAATGCAGAAACTCTCCTCATGTTGCAAGTGTCCAATGCCTTGTGTACGTAAAATGAGCAGATTTAACGAAATAACCAATGCAAAATGTGGTCCTAGAGTAAGACTGATAGTGGGTTTATTCACAGCGTTTTCTGTTAGAATGCACAACATGAATTGCACTGCTTTTCTTTCTGAAACATATCAGTGTGGTTTTAAAAGGGAGTTTAACTCCTCAGATGACTGGTAAATAGACAGTTCAGTGTACTTTGGTGCATCCTCAGAGCAATAGCAGTTTAAGCATCTTTACGATGATGTCCCAGAGTCTATTAATCCTTCTAAAGGAGAAGTAGTTTGAGGACTAAAGGGCTAGGACTGGAGCTGCATGGTTTTAGACTCAAGAATCCCTATGAAGTATTCTGAGTGGGATGCAGAGCTGTCTAACACATGTATTGATTTTTATCTTGGTTGAGCATGATGCTGGTAACACCAAGGTCATGGGTTTAATTCCTGCTCGGTCCCCACGTGTTGCCTGATCTAGTCAAGAGGTGGCGTCCCTGCCCATGACAGGGAGGTTGGATTAAATGATCTCTAAGGTCCCTTCCAGCCTAGGCCATTCTATGATTCTATAGTAAAAAGCAGTTTCTCCCATCAGAAAACAAAGGGAGAAAACTTGGGGACCTAAACCACTACGAGTTTTATTCTTTGGGTGTGCACTGCAGTCATCGCTTCTAGGACAAGACCTTGCATTGGTCTGAGTGAACTTATTCTGCTAAAAACAAACAAACAAAAAAGCAAGGATCCTTACTAGTGGGACTGCCAGCACAGCAACTGTTCAGTTCATTCCTGTCTTCTCCTTCCAGGAAGGCTTCAGAACACTAGTTATTAAAGCTCTAATCCAGAACTCTATTGAAGTCAGTAGAGTTTTTCCGTTGTTTTTAATGGGTTACGTTTTAAGCTATATCTCGAAAATTCTGTAATGTCCTTTTTGTCTGCTAGAACTGATGTATGACAATAGGAAATATTCAAAAATTAGCTGAAATGCCTTGTCAGAACTGGATTTCTCACTGAAATTAAAGATGGAAAAGTCTGTCCTTAGCACTCTCTGCAACATCCAGTCTATTGCCCACGAGTGCAGAAACTCTCTTTCTGGTACTAACTGCAATTGGTTGCTTACTTTTAAGTTATGTGAATTTCATCATGTTTTGTGTTATCGTGTAAATAGCTTGTGCTATTAGAGGCACTGTAGGAGGTGGACTAAAATGATCTTTCTTTCGTTTGGTTCTGTAAATTTTAAATGGTAAGCAGTTCTTCCCTCATCTAAATTGTAATTTCCAGCTACTTGTATGGAATTCTCTCTCTCCTTTCAGTTGTCCAGAATGGCTGTGGTATATCTGGGCTAGACATCCCGAATCCCCTAGCACAGCTCAAAGACAAATATACAGTTTGTTTTGTAGTGCTTTATTCACCTCATCCTAAAGTCAGTGTTTGAAACGGCCAGAAAAACAAACACATCACCAACTCCAGAGAATTTTATAGAACAAGCGAGTGCGCATCTTTTTGCAAAGATGTTAACGTTAACACTGTTCAAAATTGGAAACACTTACAAAACGTTGTCAGTCAACAAAGTTTTGGGGAGGTGAATTACTATGTGAGGTGAAAAGATACACATTATTTAGTCGACGCTGTGCTTGAAAGGGTGCTTTTTTTCTTAAAAAGATAAATGGATTACAGAGGCAGGCAGTATTGACTGCAAACTTGGAAGGGGCCAATAACATGACAAGAAAGGTTAAAATAACCTTTTGCATACATCATTGGGCAATAAATAAGTCGATACATCAATTTACAAATACGTAAGAAACAAGCATCATTTTTCTACTCTAAGTTCAATTTCTTACGCACATATTTCTCACATGAATTCAAGAACTACGGGAAAAAGGATATAATATGAAGGGATTTCTCCCCAGTTGCAGGCAATCACCTGATCTTTCTGAAAGTTTTTGTGTGTATTAAGATTCTACTATTCCAATGGTAGAACAATACTAATGAATATATCTGTACTTATATTTAATATATGAAATCTCCTCTCTTGATTGGAGCTTCCAAAAGGAATGGCAAAGGTTGATTCATTTGCCATTTTCCAACTAGGGTATTGAATTAGCACAAGTGGGTCAGCCTTTTTTTTATTCCCGTTAGCTTTTTGTTTCTGATATTCATCACGGTCATGTTGTTCAAACAGTTTACCTGAAATGAAAGTGGCACCAAAATCAATATTTGTGATGCACAATTTTTGCAACATAAACACTGTTGTTCTATTAACAAATTTGCCCACAAGATGAAGTGCCATATTTGTCAGGTTTCATTCACTTTGGTTTGGGGGCAGACAAGTAAAATTGCCAAATTAGGTTAAGTTAAGGGTGGTTTTCTTGTCGATTTTGTGGTCGAGTCATTTTTCAATGACATTTAACTTCATAAGTGTAATTCATGGCTCTTTGGGGGCTTTATGGTACATATTGTTCAGAAAACTCCTTGACCTCCTTTTTTGTCCTTAGGGATATAAATTGCTTTCAGTACCTTTTTTGTCAAATCTACAGAGAGCCCAATACTAAATGAGCTTTAATGATCTGAGCTGCCAAGGGACTGTGAGTTCCAAGTCTAACGTACTTACTTGCAAAGGCGCGTTCTCCTTTGTTTAAATGCCAAAGAAGCTCCATTTATAAATCCTTATTAAATACCATTGTGAACCCTTCTAAAGACTCGGGGCCGGAACCTTTGCGGCATGTGTCAGCACAGTTCTATTACAGGTAATCACGTTATGCTAATTTGAGCAGCTGAGGATCTGGCCCAGGATGATAACTCTAAGAGCATGTACTAAAATAGAGCAAGATTTCAGTTCAAAGTGAAAACTTTCCTCAGGTTAAACTTTAAAAGCCATTACTTACCCATACGGGAGAAAAGTATATTTGTCTAGGAGACAGAAGCAAGTTGATTAGTGTGTTATTCTGTAAAACAAGAGAGATTGGGGTCTTGGGGGTATTGATAGGCTTGTGCCGTAGAAATAAGTCTCAGCTGCATGAATACTGTCATCCAGGATGGAGGAAGGAGAGTTAATTTTGGTAGAAGGTGATGTTTACATATGTTCTGCATTGCTTTCATTAGTACTTCCATTTGAGAAGGAAGATGGTACATTTTGGACATGGAGAGTATATTAGGACTCATCACTAAAGTTAGCTGTCCTGCTACATACGATGCTATACACGTTACCCTTTTAAATTTTCCACTGAAATAGCATAATCTAAAAAAGAAAAATTTAGGGGGCAGAAAAGTAACCCTCATCCTAAAAGTGGATTCATAGAATCATAGAATGGTCTAAGCTGGAAGGGACATTAGAGATCATTTTAATCCAGCCTCCCTGCCGCCAGGGATGCCACCTCTCGACTAGATCAGGCAACACATGGGGACCGAACGGGAATCGAACCCACGACCTTAGCGTTGTTAGTGCTATGCTCAACTGACTGAGTTAACCAGCCCCCTGAATTGACCTAAAACTTTGCATTCTTGATTCAGTCAGATTGTCTTGTCACAGCTCCGTATTTATCAGAGTTCAGCAGCAGTGGTATGAAAGACTTCCTCTAAACTTTGGACAGTTTCCAATTTTGTTAAGCACTAAGAAGAAATGAAAATACAGGACAACCATTCTGGATTACTTTAAAGCAGTTTATGAATTTATCAAATCTTATCTCAGCTGATCCACAAAACAATTGTGAAAATTGCATAATAATATTTTCATATCCAGTTAATGAAACATTAACTCTTAAAAGAAAGAAGAAAAAAACTACATCCAAGGTTGTCTTTAAAAGAAAATCTTACAAGAAAGGTTATAATAATTTATTCCTGTATTACTGCAATCTGAATTAAAATCAAACCTATTCTGATAACTCATACTCTTGCATCTCTAAATACACCTGCCACAGTCCTCTGCGTTGTATCTAATCTATATCTTATTTACTTTAAATGTTCTGCAACTACATAAAATAATTTGACAAGGCTCTGTTTATAGAAAAGTTGAGATTTGAAAGATCGACTATTGTTCACATAAGGTAGAGTGAAAATGTCTCTGCCTTAATTTATAAGGATCAATTTGGAAAAGATGAGCGATAAATCACTTTCATTATAAACTCAGATCTTCCTGGAGCTGCACGAGAGAATGCCAATCATTCTTGTTCCTTCTGCTGTGAGCTAATATATACCAGTCATGAGATGAATTCATTTTATTTAGGACATGAATTTGACCTTGGCCCTCAATTCCCCAGCAGAAGGCAGTTGCTAAAGCCTCTATGTTGGTATTTGCAGTAGAGCGTAGTGTACTTACGCAAATTCATGATATAAGATAAAAACTTGGAAAAACCATTCTGATAGAGTTTATTTGGAAGACAGCTCAAAACATTCCTTTATTTATCAGAATTGAAATAGCATCTTGAAATTTCTTTGGATGGTTTTCCATCGTAACTATTTTCACTTTTTATTCTGTTGTTTCTAGATTGAGAAAAGATGAAATCTCTATCTGTTTTTCTGTACTCCTGTGAAGAGGAATTATCAACTGGTTAGAACATGGGTTGAAGCAACTAAGACTCTCAATTTCACAGCTCAGCTACTAATGGACGATGAATCAAATGTTCAGAAGTGCCTGAATAATTTAGCAGTCTAAATGAAGCTGAAAGCCACTAATATTTTGGCTTCTGGGCACTTAAAGTGGTTAACAGAATGTCGACGCTCTAGCATTTCAATAGTAATAATAGCAGTACTGGTGAAGATACTCCAAAGACAAATACTCTTTAAAAAGGGCAGTTTATTTAGTTATTTTGTTATTTAAATACGGTATAGCAGTCATTGGAACTTCAATGCATTTCAGAAGAAATTTCCCCATGTGAAGGCTTCTTACGTATATTCCAGTGCTCTTTTTAAGTCTTTTTGTGCTTCTTTGCTACAGCATCGTTTCAGTAAGCTGTCGTTGTTCAGCCACACCCTGGTTTATTTGAAAATAACGTACAACACAAATTACTTCCCGCTTTTCCCTTCTCAAACACTAATATGACTTGCAGAAATACCTCGACTGACTTTATTTCTCACAAACTTGTCAGAGCACGCCTCTCTACGTGTTTTCCGCACGTCCTCTTGTGAGAGCTCACCGTTCTCTACCTTGGTTTTGTCTTCTCCTGCAGTTGATTGCTTAGATCCAACGTGCTCCAACCACGGCGTCTGTGTCAACGGAGAATGTCTCTGCAGCCCGGGCTGGGGGGGAATAAATTGTGAGCTTCCCAGAGCCCAGTGTCCAGACCAGTGCAGCGGGCACGGTACCTACCTGTCCGACACGGGGCTTTGTAGCTGTGATCCCAACTGGATGGGTCCCGACTGCTCCGTCGGTAAGAAAAATAGATTTCTTGCTGATCCTGCAATATTATTTCTGTTTTGTTAGAATGGTAATGTCTATGGCAAGTTTGAAATGCAAATAATTTCAAAAATTGTCTTTGGAATGTGTTTGGAATTTTGTTACATTGGGAAGAAGAGCGTATATATCCGAGATACTTTTTTTTTTTTTTTGTGACATTCTGAATTTGGGAGTGAGGGGATGCGGGTCAGGACTTTGCACTTCATTCTAGCACTGACTCTCATTTCAACTGAAAAAGTTTAATTGCTTCGTGTCTGCTTACTAACTGTAAATGGAAACTTCCATAATTTATAAATATGTTTACAACATTTGAGGAACGGAAAACACTACCTTTAAGTACATTTTTAGAGTTTGCTTTACTGCACATCAAATGCTACTCATTTATGAAAAACGTGACAAACTAGAAAAAATCTCTTCTCAAATAAGGTGTATTTTTCTCTTTGTAGTTGTTCGTGGAATATTTTAAAATAAAATTTTAGAGCAAGAGATCCTGAAGCACAGGCACAAAAGTGTAGGCTCTCCAAAGCTGCAACAGTAAAATGGATTATTCTAATAGAAAAAGCTAAAGAGAAAAAAACAGTTGAGACAAGACGCCAAATGTTCTGTTTGTGGGGAAAAAATACTGGGAATTTTACATTTATATTGAAAGCTGAACTTTTGAGACAGAGCTGTGGGCCATAAGCAAGTCTCTCAAAACAATATTTACAGTTTTCACACTTACTCAGTTATTTTGTGACATTAATGACTTAGAACACTCCACCACTGAAATGAATACCAGGATGTGCTTTTTCTGCTTCGTGCGTCAGCAGCCAGAAAAATTCCTGAATGACAGTTTCGCTGTAAATTTCTTTGGTGATGTTTGAGGTAAAGGACCCCTCTTTCTGTTTGTGGGGAAAAAATACTGGGAATTTTACATTTATATTGAAAGCTGAACTTTTGAGACAGAGCTATGGGCCATAAACAAGTCTCTCAAAACAATATTTACAGTTTCCACACTTACTCAGTTATTTTGTGACATTAACGACTTAGAACACTCCACCAGTGAAATGAATACCAAGATGTGCTTTTTCTGCTTCGTGCGTTGGCAGCCAGAACAATTCCTGAATGAGAGTTTCGCTGTCAATTTCTCTGGTGATGTTTGAGGTAAAAGACCCCTCTGCCTTTATAAAACTGCAGCTGGCAGAAAGCAGTAGAAGACTTTTTGAAGTGAGCCGCTGGATAACTGACCGTGTTAGTAATAGGATTCCAAAATCTCTGCCTTTAAAGTGTCTTTTACCTGTCAATCCTAGAGTCTGGTGACCCTGAATTGTCACCGTTCTCTGCTGAATGAGCTTTAAGTGAGTTTCTGACTCATTCTCAGCAAGTCAGTGGCTGTATCAGAAATGACCAGAGGTGCAGGTTTGAGGAAAACGCTTAGTGCTCCTCTTTCTGGCTGCTGGCCGGTGTTGAGAAGCTGCCTCTGAGACTTGTTTGGGTGTGAAGAGAGGCCAGAGCTCTGCAGCAGGCTGTGCAGCGTTCCTTAGCGGATGTGGGTTTAGGAACCTTTTTAATGTAGTTTGGTTTGAACAAAAGTTAAACACCGGTATTGATCAGAATATGATCAAGGCAGCTTTTGACAGCATATACAGCCTGATCTAGTCACTGATGTCCCTGCTCACTGCAGGGGCTTGGACAAGATGACCTTTAAAGGTCCCTTCCAGCCCAACCCATTCTGTGGTTCTGTATAGCTTTCAGCACAAGCTTACCAATCCTACGCACTTTTCCCTTCAGGACCAGCCTGCTGCTTCTGCCTCATTGCTGTTGAGAGCAGATATCACCTCTGTTCTTTTTTTTTTCCCTCCTAGAAGTGTGCTCTGTAGACTGTGGCACTCACGGGGTGTGCATTGGCGGAGCGTGTCGCTGTGAAGAAGGCTGGACAGGAGTGGCGTGCGACCAGCGCGTGTGTCATCCCCGTTGCACGGAGCACGGAACTTGTAAAGATGGGAAATGTGAATGCAGAGAGGGCTGGAATGGGGAGCACTGCACCATTGGTAGGCAAACGACAGGCACCGAAACAGGCACATATTGCTTTCTTTTCATAAATCGTAGAAACATAGTTACTGTCGTGTGTTGTAATAGGCTGTTCCTTTAAGGACCCTGGTGCTCTCAAATATTATCTCTGACTTCGAATGCTTTGGGTGAAATGGAATCACTTAAAGTCAGTTAAACTGATTTGGGGGGGGAAGAAAACCAACAACAACAAATTCCACAGCAAAGGAGCATTAGTAGGTAAAGATGTGACAAATGGTCTGTCACGGTATCATCTGAGCTGAGATTTTTAGACTTAACTAAACATTCCTTTGTGCGAATGGCATCTTTTTTAATTTCCTGGTCTGATGCATCAGCGTTCCCCTGCTATTATACATCGCATCTGAAACCCATCGCCACCATCACCACAGCGAGCAGGGGGCAACTCGGGGAGTAATAACAGAAGTCGCCCCCTCACCCTCTCTCCCATGTTGTGCCATGACATTGGGCACGTAGAGACCATCCCAGCGTGAGAGGGCGCTGAGGCACGCCACCGCACCCTTTCCTAAAAACCCAACTGCTCATCGCAGCGCCGGCGTCGCGCAGAGCGCCGCGACGAACACGGCTGTGGCGTGTCAGCCCGGGATGTTCCCAAAGGTCACACTTACACAAAGCAGCGACGCTCCATCCTCTCAGTTGCCGTGCTCAAAAATTCATTCTGCAGAGGAATTAGTTGCTTCTAAAGGAAGTGCTTTGTTGTATTTCTACAAACTGTCAGGTAGTGTATTTAGAGTATTTTGTAGAGTTACTGAAAACAAAGGAAAGAAATGTTATGTCCCCTCTGCTGTAATAAAAAATTGGAAATCCCAAGTGATCAGATCTCTTCTGAGAAGTCTGAGAAAAATTATCTGGAGCAAGAGTATCCAGCTGCTGAGACCATGTGAGATTCAGACAAGTGTACTTCTCTCCAGAGAACTGGAGGTGTGCCTTAAAAGAAAACTAGTGAGTCCAAATCCAAGATCATATTGTTTTAATTACCTAAGGTGGTAAATTTAACAAAGAAAAGGAGTAGATCAATTGAGATTTTCATGGCAATCGGGGACCCTAATGGGACAGTCCTATTACAAGTGGATTGTTATTTCTTTACTTGAAAGTCTGGTGAAATTCTTGCATTTCTCAAACTGTTTCTCATTCCCCTCTGACTTCTCCCTGGATATCCAAACCATTTCCACATGAGTTTGAAACTGAACATACACTCTTATTGGAGAGAATAAAAAAAAAAAATTAAAAAATCAATGGATATTTTGGGGTCATCTCCTCTGATGTTGTGGTGCTGCATGCTTCCACCACACTCTGCTGATTTAAGTCAAAGCTTTTATGACTGAACACTTTGTGACCAGCACAGATGCAGAGTGTTTTTTCACAACTGCTTTCTTAACTTCCATCATATCGACATACCTCTTCTAGATTAATCCAGGCATTTTGTTTTCATATAAAGTGCTTTACAAAATGCCTAGTATATTAATTTTTTTGCATTAAATTATGTAATAACTGCTTGTTTTTAAAGTTGCTGCTTTGCACAAAATTTGTTTTGCTTTATAATCTTTTAGTAATATGCTTTTGTTTAGAGGTAATTAGTGTACTTAAAGTCGTCATTACTGTGCACACAAAAAGATGCCTCGTACTGATATCTTAAAAGAATTCTGAAAATTACAAGCTGAACTAGTGAACTCTGAAGTGCTATTATTAGTCTAATTTTCAGAGCTGTGAATTAAATATTTTCCCTGTCATTGATGTGTATAATCAACTCATATTTTCAGAGGAAGCATGATACTGCTCAAGTAAGTAAAATATGCACAAGATGATTTTTTTTGTTGTTTGTTTGATGTGGATTGGAAAGGTTTCCTGGAAATTTAACATGGGTCTGCCTGGGGCAAAGATGAGACTAGGGCAGAAAATTTAGGTTTGCCCTCTTGATTATCGTATCTTAGATGTGTGCAATCAGAAGTTGCCTGTTGTATGTGGACAGGTATATATTCCTGTGTCAGGCCTGCCTTAGTAAAAATTTTCCTGTGCTTGTATCATGAGATTGTGACATGGAATGGAAAATCCCACTGCTTCGTGTTAAGAGGGGGTGAAACACTGAGTTTGGAGAATGAGGATGGTAAAACTACTTCTTTGTCAGTATTTGTACAAAAATTTGCTAGAAGTTACCTCTGGAAAACTTGCCCTTAGAGTGATTTACGGCTCTGGATTGGGGATTTTGTACCTTGAGGTGTTTTAAATGTTAGTGGGAAGAACTAAAGTGTACTTAAATGTTACAGAAACTTACTTTATTTAGAGTACACCCTTTATGGTTTTGCTTTCAAGGGAAATGTTGGCAGACCATGTAGTGTTAGAATTACTCACTGAGGAGCATCCACCCAAAAAGGTAATACTCAGGAATGCAAACTTAATGTGTTCAAACCTTGATTTTAACATTTTTTAAAAGAATTTATTTTTTTTTAATCCAAAGTGACTGTTTTAGTCCTCTTTGGAAGGTACTAGGCAAACTGCCATTTGTTGTCCTAAGGCAAAGCAAGGACAGACCAGAGTAAAATAGTACATGAGCAGAAGTTGAATCCCTCCCTTCCCTCTTTGTAGTCTGAGTTTTTGAGTACTCGTATCGAGAGCAATGAATGACCGGGCTTACCTCAAAAGACATTTGAGAATTTCTCTCTATATGGACTTCAAGTAGAAAATTGTGAATCCCATAGGAGAGTTTATTTGCTTTGAATTTGCATTTATTGCTACATGTGGTCCAAAACCGCCTGATGTCAGTGGACAAAGTTGCTTTAATTCCAGTGACTTTAGGCCAAGCCCACTTAGAACAAATCAATTTAACTTGTGAGAAAAAACCCAAGGCAGTTACTATGTAAAACCAAAATAAATTCTCTTTTGTTTGTGTTTCTTTACTAGTTTTGTGTGCTGTATTCACACGGCAATGGAAAAGAAAACATTATAGCAACCTGCAGGTATCCCAAGTTCATTCTGGATATTTTATTCTAATTAAATAACAAATCAGGTCTCTACAGATAGCTGACAGAATACACACCGATTGGCATTTTGATGTTGAGTATCTGAGCTGAAAAAATTTAACAAAAATGCACTTTTTCTCTGCATCACCCGTATAGTAAGAAAAGCACTCTGAAAAGTCTCCCAGAATCCCACTATTAGCTCAGTGTTAACAACCTGTTTGCGCAAAGCAGCTTTTACCTTTGTGCAGCAATTGAATTATGTATAAAAATCCGAGTTACATGGATTTTGATAAATCTATATCTGAATAATATAAAAATGGAAGGAGCGGTGTCTGCTCCTGCTCAAATGCTGTACACAGCAGGGCAGAACTCTGCAGCAGGCACTGCCTTTCGCTTTACTCCTTCAGGTAAGAAGAAGAATTGCTTACTGGAGTGATGATAAAGAAAATTAATCTTTTCCCAGTGCAAAAATAGACCTGTCAGGATATGTTTATTAAGTGATTATTATTCATTGATTGCAATTATGGAGGAAGTTATAACTAAATAATAGAGGGTAATCTAGATGAGGAAAAAATATTGGAAAACTAATAACAAGGCGAAAGACTAAGAGCAGTTGCTAAATCTTGAACCAATTTCATGCCAGAATTTTAGGATGGAGGATTTAGGTTTTCCTGGAATCATCTGAGTGTTGTTAGATGTGCTGTTATAAAAAAACTCTGTTGTTTTCACTGGAAATAATATTTGGATGTTTAAAACTGTTGCTTTTAAATGGTTGTGGAGGATGTTCTCCATGTAAGCTGTCAGAATAGTATACCAAGGACAGTGTGATATATATGTAGATCTTAAAAACAGCATTTTAAAAGTGTAATTCCATCTGTAATTCATATCCCTGCAGCATGAAATATGACTGTTATTAAGCCATTGGTAAAAATCTCACTGTGAGACCAGTGAAACCAGGATTTAATCCTAAATGTTGACAAGTAAAAATGTAGAAGTCTGCAAAAATATCTTGTCTTCTCTTGAGAGCTTACAATATATGAGGTTTTCTTTGTGTCTGCCTGTCGTATTCCCAAAGCTTTGCTTTTATCTGCTCACACCCTACATTAGATGTAGGTTAAGCACTCCTGCTCTCAGACAGAAAGTGGCAGAAGATTGTAGTCAAGGCTATTTGATAATATGGATAATCTGCTGCAGATTGCAACTGAGACAATGCTCGCCTTTTCTATTTCTTTTTTTTTTAATACATATTTCAAGGCAAATGAGCTATGCTCCGTTTAACAGCTGTAGAAGCTGACCCTCCGATGGTCTCCTTGCTAGGCAAAACACAAATGAGGGGGATGTGTGCATCTCTGCAGGCTCTGCTTAGAACCATTTAGGTTATAAAACATCCTTAAGATGATTTGAGTCCAATCATAAACCTAACACAAGGCATCCTGGCCTCGGTACTGCTTTTTGGAATGTAACTCCAGAGGTGGGGATCTGCCACTCTTTCACCAGCTGAGTCCTTGACCTCTGTGCTGCAAACGTCCAGTGGTCCTTAGTCCATACGGGATTTGGAAGTCTGTATTAGCCCTATGCTTTATCTTCTGTGTTTTCAGGGCCTTAAATAAAGAAGAAAGATTTGAAAGAATGAAGTTCCTGTTACCTCCATGGTGGGAAATGACGTAAAATTACTCAATACCTAAAAATGTGCAGGAAAAAAAGAGGGCTTTCTGTGTCCAGAGTGGTTGAGAGAAGCAGTTACAGTACGGGAGATTTGTGTTAGGAAAAACCTTGTAACCGTAAATGAAAAATCCAAGTAGACTGTCTAAGCAAATTGTGGAATCTCCATTAATGGAACTTTTAACAAGAATTTTGAGAAGCATCTATCAGGAATAGCAGAGAGGGAGTTCATCCTGTTGTGGGGCAGCAAGTTGACTAGAAAGTCATTGAACGATATGAGCTCCCTTGCAATCTAATTTTAAATGAAAGCAAACATTCCTTCAAAGTATTTTATAATGACCTATGTTAAGATTTATATTGTCGCCCCCCTC